CCACCTACAGCACGAGACACCACCTACAGCATGAGACACCACCTACATCATTACACATCACCTACAGCATGAGACACCACCTACAGCATGAGACACCACCTACAGCATGAGACACCACCTACAGCATGAGACACCACCTACAGCATGAGACACCACCTACAGCATGAGACACCACCTACAGCATGAGACACCACCTACAGCATGAGACACCACCTACATCATTACACACCACCTACACCATGAGACATCACCTACATCATTACACATCACCTACAGCAGGGCAAAGGAACACTTGGTAACATGCAGGCTCCAGCAGCCTCCTTGCCGCACCTGACTACACCTTATCCCATAATACTCCAGCAAGGATACATCCCCTTTCCTATCCTTGGCTGGCATCCAAGACTCCCTTCTCCCGCCCACAGCCTGGCACTCTGTCACTCTCCTCCTACACACACTCCAGTTTTCCCCTTGATTTAAAGTCGCTAATACAGGTTGACTCAGTTCGAGAATTTTTCACTCTAGCGACCATGATTTTGTCCCGGGAATCTATCGTGTTGATGCCGAACACTGAATTCCCCCTTGTCACTCACCTCGCTTCGTTACTTCTTGAATACGTATATCTCTCTATACCTTTTTTGTTCAGTGTTCTCTACATCATAACTGTTCCAGGTGGTTTGTTATTCCTTGTTCCTCCTCTACACCCGTGCTGCCTCAGACCCTTGCATCCATGCGCAGTTTGGTCCCTTCTCTTCCTCTATTTATCACTTTATGCCTTCCAACTTCTTCTATTCAGTCCTTCCAAGTTGTGGGAGAGAGACATAACTTTGGTGGCTTCCTCTGGCAGTGGTGGCTGGCTGGCTGGCTGACTCCTCTGCCGGCACCGCGGCGCCGGGCTCCCACTCTCTCTCGCTCCATTTCCTCAGGTTCTTCCTCTACACTTCATCACTTGCAATCTCTTCCTTTCCATTTCTTATGGGATGTTCTCCTCTATTCCCCGCCCTCTCTCCTCCTTCCACATTCCTTTATCTTTCTTAAGAAAATACTATTTTGTTAGAATCTTTCACTTTTTTATTTCTTTGTCTGATATCTTTTTCTGTAATGGATGAACTGTCCCATTTTTTTCTGCATTCCCTTCGTCCGCTTCTGGACTTTGTCATTTACATTCATTGCTTCCGGCCTCGACGATTACTCCCAGAGGCTGAGAACAATATCATTTTCCTCTTAGCTAGTTCGAGACAAATATACGAGCCTTTGAGATAATATATACGAGCCTTGGATAGCTCGTTCATCTTAAAACTGGTGCCTTTCCACCGGGTCCAGCAGCGCCTTCGCCTTTTACAGAGTCGCCGTTTGAGTCCCGATGGTCCAAGTGGTTAGCACTGACCCTTCGCTCCTCCCTCATATCCTAGCTCTTTGTCCTCATATACTTCATGAAGGGTTATCTTCCTCATATACCTCATGAAGGGTGATCTTCCTCATACACCTCACGAAGGGTGATCTTCCTCATACGCCTCATGAAGGGTGATCTTCCTCATACACCTCATGAAGGGTGATCTTCCCATACACCTCACGAAGGGTGACTCATACACCTCACGAAGGGTGATCTTCCTCATACACCTCACGAAGGGTGATCTTCCTCATACACCTCACGAAGGGTGATCTTCCTCATACACCTCACGAAGGGTGATCTTCCTCATACACCTCACGAAGGGTGATCTTCCTCATACACCTCACGAAGGGTGATCTTCCTCATACGCCTCATGAAGGGTGATCTTCCTCATACACCTCATGAAGGGTGATCTTCCTCATACACCTCACGAAGGGTGATCTTCCTCATACACCTCATGAAGGGTGATCTTCCTCATACACCTCATGAAGGGTGATCTTCCTCATACACCTCATGAAGGTGTACACACTACACTTCATGAGATGTATACACTTGCTCATACACCTGGGGCCAGATTCCCGAAGCAGTTACGCAAGCACTTACGAACGTATACATTTTTCCTCAATCTTTGACGGCTTTGGTTACATTTATTAAACAGTTTACAAGCATGGAAACTTCCCCATCAACTGTTGTTATTGTTATAAACAGCCTCCTGGGGCTTCGGAGCTCATTAACTGTTTAATAATTGTAAACAAAGCCGCCAAAGATTGAGAAAAGATGTACAGGTTCCTAAGTACTTGCGTAACTGCTTCGTGAATCTGGCCCCTGCACTGGCAAACACTGGATGCATTATTAATAATGAACTGTAATAAAACTGTACGAACTCGGCCCAGAATATTGCATGTCCACTGACGTCACGAATGGAGGGATGGAGGCCAACCTCGACATGCCTATGACTGTCCCCCTCCACCCACCAGTCATCCTACAAAGTTTAGTGAGGCTAGCCCTTAACATGTGACCTCCATCCTTGGATAGACAATCGGACGTCTTTTGTCACAGATATTTTTCAAGCGCGGGTTGGACATGTATATGAGTGGGTTGGGTGGTTATAGATAGGAGCTGCCTCATGTTACGTACCCTTATAAGATACGTAAGTAAATATATTAATATGTACATTTATAATTGTATGTAAATTACAAGCATGTATATTGTTATACTTATATGTTCTATGCAAATGCACATTCATGTTACAGTGTTGGCGTTAGGCCCAGCGTATCGTGGGAATGATTGTTTATTTCTTTGTGTGATCAGTTTTCCCACGGGAACTAATGATTTATATGTGATCATCAGTGGGTAACAGAGTGAAATAATAATTGAGTGAACTGTATCTGGCAAATTGTCGTGGGATCGTCCGTTGCTGGGTGTGCATGCCATTATTTCTTTCTGTATGCATATTTTAATTACTATGTAAAGAAACAATTGCTTTGTTTGTCTATATCAATATGTACTAATTATTCATTAAGTTAGTTTAAGATTACTCTTGTCACAATGTAGTGCTCCATTGTTGAATAATAAATATTGTAACTTTGGCAATTTATTCGCGGGGCAAGGCAATGTGTTTTTTGACTCGCATATTGTAGTTCAGTAGCTGAGCAGAAACCAGGGAGATATCATCTTGGAGTTAAGTCATTCTTTTGTTCTAGCCATATAATTATTCTTAGTATTGATTTAATGTCTGGAAGTTACAGTGATATTTTTAATGTGATATATATTGTGACCATATAATCATCTGTTTGCTTTTGAGATTTATTTAATATAATAGTATATATCTATACTTAGTATCTTTATTCTTCAGTCCTATGAAGATTCTATTTTATGCTCATTACCCATTAAGGGGTTATACTGGTGATTCGCTATTGAGAACAGCAGTTGTGTCGTATCCCTAGACTTATTAAAGTTTGGCTGCTGTAGGATCACGAGCCGTAACGTACGATAGGTAACACCTCATATGGACCAATAGGCCTTCTGCAGTTATCTTTGTTCTTATGTTCTTATATAGAAGTGTAGTGCTATGACTCCTGGGCCAGGTGCTGCAGCAAGTTATCTGGCATACCACTTCCTTACTGCAGTGTCTGGGGGGTTATCTGGAGATGATTTCGGGGCTTTTAGTGTCCCCGCGGCCCGGTCCTCGACCAGGCCTCCACCCCCAGGAAGCAGCCCGTGACAGCTGACTAACACCCAGGTACCTATTTTACTGCTAAGTAACAGGGTGAAAGAAACTCTGCCCATTGTTTCTCGCCGGCGCCTGGGATCGAACCCATGACCACAGGATCACAAGTCCAGCGTGCTGTCCGCTCGGCCGACCGGCTCCCAGGGGGGGTGGGTAAATAAGGGTACTGTTTGCATGCTGTGGGTCCTGGACTAGATGTGATAACATTGCCATTAACCTTGTGGGTTAACAAGCCACCTACCCCCTGGCCAGGGTTCTCTGACCACTCTGTACCCGCATCCACACTGGTTCCTCTAATTCACGGTCACTGGTAGTTCCCTCGAACATCCTGCCGTGGCTGGCATTTCCCGGAAGACCGAAATAAATAGTCTCTCTCATAACCTACAATCTACAACCAATTGTCTGGCTGTCTCTGAACCCGCTCCCCTACCACTTCCTCCCATCCCTCTTACAGGTTTCCAACACCACACAATAATATTCATGTATTTCTCGCAGGAAGGCAACCACGCAGTAGCCTCCCTGCCTGCACTACCACACAGTATGATGGCATATTACAGTGCTATACCACACAGTATGATGGCATGTTACAGTGCTATACCACACAGTATGATGGCATATTACAGTGCTATACCACACAGTATGATGGCATATTACAGTCCTATACCACACAGTATGATGGCATGTTACAGTGCTATACCACACAGTATGATGGCATATTACAGTCCTATACCACACAGTATGATGGCATGTTACAGTGCTATACCACACAGTATGATGGCATATTACAGTGCTATACCACACAGTATGTTGGCATATCATATTTCTACACCATACATAATGCTGGCAATGGTTTTTAATTCCCCTCATAGCACGTGTCTCAAAAGCAATACAACACAACTCTTCCCATTTCACCCATTTCTCTTCTTTATCATTGTCTCATCCTTCACTGTTTCCAGTACCTCGTTTTTTTTGCTCTTCCTCTAACACCATCCTTCTCTTTTCATTCCCTTTCCATCTTCTTTCCTTTCCTCCTGAAATGTATATGTTTATCTCTCAGAATGTTTGGTAATATGTTTATTGTTTGTGATGTGTGTCTATGTATGTATTAACACGATGTACTGAACGGGGTGAGAATAGCTTGAGCTACCTCATTGTGTGTATTTTACTTCAATAAACTTATTTCAATTTCTGTAATTTTAACCCCCCCCCCCCTGTTCATTTCCCCCCTCTGCTCATTTTTTTTTTAATTTCCTGTTTTTCTTCTCCAGTCTCTCAATCCTTTTCTCGTTGCTATCATTCCTTTTCTTCCCTTTCAGGTCCTCAAGAGCCTGAGGGCTTTTCCGCTACCTTCCAGGACAACACGGAGGAAGCATTTTTTGTCCAATGAAGACTAGAGAGAACCGAGAGGAAAATGGAACTCTGGAACCGTATGTTGGTGGAAGACGATGCATGTTGGAGGACGTATGTTGGGGGGAGTAAGAGCAACATGTGGAAGGGGAGGCATGCTGGGGAAGGTTGTCTGTGGTCTATTTCGATAGTTTTACTCCCACAGCCTTGTAACACGGGTTAAGGTTCCTCTCTCTTTTCTTCTCTTCCTCTACTCCCTCTACCCGTATTCTTACTTATTATTCTCTACCAAGGGACTCCAAAACTTTTACCAAAGCCAACTCCACGCCACGTGGTCCTAAGACGATTGACCGACTTAGGATTCTACACCCAGTATGACGTGACCTAAGCTCTGAACAAAACCCTAGAGTCACCTCTGCTGCCACCACCAGACCAGTAATACAAGAGCAATGATCGAGGTCTGGATCGATCACGCTAATTAATCAACCTAGGGGCTTGATCCCCACTATAAACGATGACCTTGAGAGTGGAATAAATTACACGGTAATGATAATTCCGATTCGATGTTAGAATCGGCGCCCAATGCAACTCTGCCTCGTGTGGACCACGTGACCAGGACAAGTATACACATAAAACACATGGAAACAATAAAATGCAAATTAATAACAAATTTAATTTATTAAAAGAAAACTAAAACAAAATCTAAATGTGTTCACTCCCTATCACTTTAACACTCCCTACTTGACCTGAGTGGCAAATGAGAAGACTATCCCTATAATTAACAATAGCAACTATACCTTGGGCGACCACAGCTCTAGGTGTTGGGTGGTCTTGGGGAGAGGTAAGATGTTTGACCTCTCCCAGCTGCTCCCGTATTCACACTGATTTTTTTCCTTGTCTGGACTACCCCAGACAGAGTATTGTATTGTTCCGCATCGCTTACCCAGTTACTTTAGCAAGGTTAAGTTATAACAATTAAACTCTGTTGTACTTAATTGATCCAGACTGGTTGAATTATTTTACTGAATTAAATTACAAACATCTAACGGCAGAGCTGTTCCCGATCCCCAAAATGGTTAATAAAACTTTGAGAAATATTAGACATGTCAACCCTGCTGACCTATGACCGCCGGTCACTCCGCCTTAAAAGTTAGATCCGATTCGTGACGTCACTGATGGTGACTTAAACTCAATAATTAGAATACTCTTGATATTGTATCCAGTACTATTATACAATACAATTTTAATGCAAAATGAATAAAGGCTAATTTTCTCTAATTTACTGAATACTATAGGATGATTCATTATACGCAGCTATGAACAACGCGTCGGTTATTTCCACCGCGAATCCCCCTGGGGGTCAGGTCACCATGCGGCTCAGCTTCCCATTCTCTTTTGTCGATAAACCACTCTGGATAATTCTTACAACAGCCTAGTTTGTTACAACCCCCCCGCACAAGCACTTAGTAAACCTTGTTAATTTGTTAAAATTCACGAGGTTTAGTATCCAAACCCACAACTCAACTCATGCCACAAACAAAAGCTAACCTAACTAATAAAATTTGACAAATAATAGTCCAACATCAACATGTTTAAATTCATAAATTTCTCAGCTGTCAACTGACAGCAATCTTCTGACATCAAGAACCCACCGCTGCCACCATTGTAACACGGGTTAAGGTTCCTCTCTCTTTTCTTCTCTTCCTCTACTCCCTCTACCCGTATTCTTACTTATTATTCTCTACCAAGGGACTCCAAAACTTTTACCAAAGCCAACTCCACGCCACGTGGTCCTAAGACGATTGACCGACTTAGGATTCTACACCCAGTATGACGTGACCTAAGCTCTGAACAAAACCCTAGAGTCACCTCTGCTGCCACCACCAGACCAGTAATACAAGAGCAATGATCGAGGTCTGGATCGATCACGCTAATTAATCAACCTAGGGGCTTGATCCCCACTATAAACGATGACCTTGAGAGTGGAATAAATTACACGGTAATGATAATTCCGATTCGATGTTAGAATCGGCGCCCAATGCAACTCTGCCTCGTGTGGACCACGTGACCAGGACAAGTATACACATAAAACACATGGAAACAATAAAATGCAAATTAATAACAAATTTAATTTATTAAAAGAAAACTAAAACAAATCTAAATGTGTTCACTCCCTATCACTTTAACACTCCCTACTTGACCTGAGTGGCAAATGAGAAGACTATCCCTATAATTAACAATAGCAACTATACCTTGGGCGACCACAGCTCTAGGTGTTGGGTGGTCTTGGGGAGAGGTAAGATGTTTGACCTCTCCCAGCTGCTCCCGTATTCACACTGATTTTTTTCCTTGTCTGGACTACCCCAGACAGAGTATTGTATTGTTCCGCATCGCTTACCCAGTTACTTTAGCAAGGTTAAGTTATAACAATTAAACTCTGTTGTACTTAATTGATCCAGACTGGTTGAATTATTTTACTGAATTAAATTACAAACATCTAACGGCAGAGCTGTTCCCGATCCCCAAAATGGTTAATAAAACTTTGAGAAATATTAGACATGTCAACCCTGCTGACCTATGACCGCCGGTCACTCCGCCTTAAAAGTTAGATCCGATTCGTGACGTCACTGATGGTGACTTAAACTCAATAATTAGAATACTCTTGATATTGTATCCAGTACTATTATACAATACAATTTTAATGCAAAATGAATAAAGGCTAATTTTCTCTAATTTACTGAATACTATAGGATGATTCATTATACGCAGCTATGAACAACGCGTCGGTTATTTCCACCGCGAATCCCCCTGGGGGTCAGGTCACCATGCGGCTCAGCTTCCCATTCTCTTTTGTCGATAAACCACTCTGGATAATTCTTACAACAGCCTAGTTTGTTACAGCCTGGCCTGAGGCCAGCTTTTTCCCTGGTGATTACCTGGTCTGTTAGGCTGTTTATCTCCGAAGCCTGCAGGCCCATATAACCATCACAGCCAAGTTGCTCCGGTAGCTCAAGTAGAAATTTGTGAACTTTCCTGTAGAAAGCTTCCACTTTTGTTCCAGTGACATTAGGATTTGGAGTCGTTCACCTCTGTTGTTTACACTAATTGTGGTTTTGAGAACCCAACTTTTCACTGCATTTATTTTTACACTTCCTACCATATATCTCACGACAGTATGGTAACATTTTTATTGTCCAGTATCTTCCATGTGTATATTATAATATCTCCGTTCCAAGGGCTACGATTTGGGGGCTTTCAGGAGGTCCCAGTATTAAAGTGGTAAGTGATTCTATACGGATATTAAAAGATTTCTGTACATGTTCTAGCTCTGCAATCTCGCCTCCCTGAGAGGGAATGTGAGAACCGAACAGCAATCAAGCTAGTACGACACACAGAGATCACACTAACGTGATGCATCAAATGAACAAATCCACAAGGGCCGTGACGAGGATTCGAATCCTCGTCACGGCCCTTGTGGATTTGTTCATAAGCTTGTACGAGCGCTCTGAAGAGTACCACCACTGACGTGGCGCCCCTGTTTTGAATGTTCCAACTAACCACCCCATCTAGCGTGTGGTCTGGTCAACACACTTCAGCCACGTTATTATGACTCGTCGCCTGCAACCACCCCCATCATTTTCCTGGTTGTTTCTGTTTGCTTTCATGTGCTCTCTAACGTTAGGTCTCCTGACATAATGCAAGACCTCTCTTCCTTCCTTCCTCTTCCTGTTTTGTATCCTGTGCGCCTGTTATGTTCTACTGTTTTCCAAAGTAAAGTAAACGGAACTTATCAATGTTGTACGTAATGTTTTCCGTTACCAACTGAAAGATCTTGTTAACTGTAATTTTTTCTGGGCCTTTCACAAAGGTAACTTTGTAGGCCCTCTGCAGTTCCTACTACTAGCCCCTCTACTACACCTTACTTTGCTCCTCATCTCTCGTCCCTATTTATTGCCTGTCTCTACTTCCTCATCACACACAGGCACCGCTCCTGTGCCAGGTAAGTCCACTACGGGCTCACCATAGCCCGTGCTACTTGCCCCGTTCCTGTGCCAGGTAAGTTACGGGCTCACCATAGAATAGAACCAGTGAAGAGCAGAGGTGCCATAGGCACAATCAGAGAACACTGTATAAACATCAGAGGTCCGCGGTTGTTCAACGTCCTCCCAGCAAGCATAAGAAATATTGCCGGAACAACCGTGGACATCTTCAAGAGGAAACTAGATTTATTCCTCCAAGGAGTGCCGGACCAACCGGGCTGTGGTGGGTATGTGGGCCTGCGGGCCGCTCCAAGCAACAGCCTGGTGGACCAAACTCTCACAAGTCAAGCCTGGCCTCGGGCCGGGCTTGGGGAGTAGAAGAACTCCCAGAACCCCATCAACCAGGTATCAACCAGGTACCATAGCCCGTGCTACTTGCCCCGTTCCTGTGCCAGGTAAGTTACGGGCTCACCATAGCCCGTGCTACTAGGAACTTGTTCCGAGTAGCTGAATCTACAACAACAAATTCCTCATCACAATCAACTTGAGAATGGTCCGGGACGGACCGAAACGTCGTCGTCCCTTCACCTTCTAGTGTGTGGTCTGGTCATGTAACTTTTATTCTTATTTTGATTGCGTTAGCAAGAGATAACGTGAATCTAAACTGTGGGTCTTATCTCTATTATGAAGATGAAAGAGAGTAACGGTGCGAGGACTCTGCCGTGTGGGACCAAACTTTGCACCATCTCACAGTAGGATAATATTGACACTCTTGTGTAAACAGCTTGTAGCACAACACGAATATATATTAATAAAGGTGTTTCAATAGGCGAGATAAAGATAATAGTGAGACGAATGTTTGATGATAATCTTCCTGCTCTAGCAGATACATGAAGACGTGAGAAGCTGGAGCATATGTATTATGATGAATGATATGTGGAGATGTTCATACATAAGAACATAAGAACATAAGAACAAAGGTAACTGCAGAAGGCCTATTGGCCCATACGAGGCAGCTCCTATCTATAACCACCCAATCCCACTCATATACATGTCCAACCCGCGCTTGAAACAATCGAGGGACCCCACCTCCACCACGTTACGCGGTAATTGGTTCCACAAATCAACAACCCT